ATAAGGAAGTATAAGGAAGGCTTATACTACTCTATACTCGGACCATACGCGGGGTATGAAGGTTCTATATAAGACTGGCATGTCTGCCATTGGATAGGAGCTTCGTGCTCAACTTAGTTATCAATCTTATCATATTTGTTTGACATCTTTGATACAAGTAACGAGTTCACTTCCAAGTGAACAACCCGATAGTCTTCTTCTTATCATAGCATACCAACCAGCGAACACCCAGCCAAGTTTAGTTAGCCAGTTTGAGTATTCGTTACACTATTATTAGCTAACCTATTCTAAACTAGACCTTTAACTAGTTCCTCCCTATTTTATAGGACTATAAAGCTATAGAGTACTATTTATATACTAGGATAATTAATTTCTCCGACTCCTATATTAAATAGTACTATAAACCTAAGCTATACTAGGGTAAATCGGTCGTATTATTTTATAATAGCTCTTAGATAAAAAGGATATTAGCTCTACTAGAGAGTACTTTAGTATAAGCTTTAAAGTACCTATAAGTATTCTAGTATATTAGTTATATAATTATTAGATAGCTCTAACTATTTTTGTACTAGTTCCTAATATATTTATATCTAGTATATACTTACCTAAAGAGGGAATGAGAAACCTTAAGAGATCCTATCTATTCTTCGAAGTAGCTCTTTATAGTAGTCTTAGTTAGCTTATATAGAGGAGGGATTAGGCCTAGATAGATTTTAACCTACCTCTCTTTCTTAACTTAGTATACTTACTACTAGATTAGGATCTAGACTCTTATTATAAAGAGTTTATATATATAGTAGCTACCTCTTAATAAATACTAGGAGTAAAGGTTATTACTCTATTCTTATAAGAGGCCTTAGCTAGCCTAGACTAGTTTTATATAATAAGGTAGTTTTTCTTTAAGAAAGTAGGGTATTCTCTTTTACAGTTAGTATACTTTATTAGAGCTTCCTTCTTTTTAAGAGGTATTTATCTTTAGTTTTATAAGTACTACTAGTATACTAGATATATCTTATACTTCTTTTATAGTATTTAGCTATCTATCCCTTTTACTAGTACTTAAAGTACTTTATAGCGTTTACTTTAAATATATATCTTTTATATAAAAAGTACTAGCTCTTTTAGAGGAGACTTCTATTACAAAGTAGCCTTACCTCCTTAATAGTAACTACTTCTAAGATAAGGTTTACTCTTATCTAGTTCTTCTTATCTAGCCCTACTGACCTTATTTAAGTAGCTTTAACTATATAGACTCTAGATCTTATACTTATCTAGTTAAGGAGCTTTATAGGCTCTATACTTTAAATAGCTTTAGCTAGGAACCTCTTTACTAATACTACTAGTATCCTTCTAACTACTTTAGCCCTCTTACTAAAAGTACTCTTTACCTACTTATTATCCTTTATAAACTCTATTTATTACTTACTCTTAAATTATATATATATATCTCTAAAAGGTAGCATTTATACTATAATTACTAGAAGGTCTTTATTTATAGAAGATCTAAAGTTAATAAATATAATAATTTCTACTACTAAGTAGCCCTATAGCTTCTTCCTTATAAAGTAGCTATAAATTATTAGTTTATAGAATTATTAAGCTAGAACTATATATTTTTTATCTCCTACTAGTTTTATATTTTATAGGACGTTTACCTAGGTTAGAGGCGCTTCCCTTCGGGGCTATCCTCCTAATAACCCTCTACTACTCTCGCTTACTACTTTACTAAGCTTTCTAAGCCTTTTATCTCAGAGGTAGAGATATTTGTTAGTATTGGATATCTAGGAGAGTGTGGAAGTGTTGGGTAGGTTTATGTAACGTACTTCTGGGAAGTGTTTGTAGACTTTGACGAGTATGAAGGCATGTTGTGTATAGATATATATATATATAGGGATATAGTAGAATGAGAAGGAGTATCTTCTGTTGAAATGGGGGAGAGTCGATGGGAGTTCAAAGAGTGATGGGCGAAGACTGGTTTATGTAGAGACGATGGGAAGGGTCTTGGGAAACACCGGAGTCTGGAAGCCTCCTGGCTCTGAACAAGCCCATGGCCCAAATACACGCCTTAAATAAATTGACCGGAAGTATGCAACATATTTCCAGAGAATTTCATCGCTTGATAGGCATACATTGATGTTCGGTGAACTAGAATGGCTGATGAGTGACATGGCTGGCTCTTTCGCGCAAGCGAAAATTTGAATAGATGTCCAACATGGTTTCAATATCATGGAAGGATAGAGACACGGTGTGTCCTACTAACTCCAGATGGTAGTCTAACCAATCGAAGTTTGAAACGAGGCTAGCGAACGTTAACACGACTTTGCTGAGCTTGATATGTCGTTCCTGAAGATTGGCTGAATTAACCATGGTGTGTAACTATTGCCGTTGGTCGCGAGTATAGTTATTTTCAACGTGGCGGGCTACATGGTGCAGCGGTGGTGGTGGCTAACAGGTGGCATTGAACCAGGGGTCGGCTGCTGTCCTGTGGTGCAGAATTGCGAAGCGAGCACGCCGCCTGGTGCACTGCGTCACTGGAGGTCAACCCAACGGCGCCTTTTCTCAAATGATCCTTACAACGTTCAGAAAAATGGCCGAATGCGGACAGTAATCAATCTCGAAATATCCTAGCCCCAGCAGCATAGTCAGGGCCTACCCTCTCCTCGAAGAACTTAAGACTGGGCGGCCATAAGCATCAAATAAGCATCAAGTAAGCACCCATTTTCCAAGGTCCCACTGCTGCTGACTGCAATCCAGTCGCGGTTGATCGTTGGAGAAATCAACTTATCAAGTTGTCAATTCATATCGAGAGGTACAGAATAAGACCCACTAGTGTCCCGGAAGCTGGGTGCGGTGCGGAACCACATTATTTCTTCGCTCTATGTCCTCCCGATGCCTGCAACTGATCAATCATAGCCTGCAATTCAGGCACCCACAACCAGATGACCAAGCATTTTGCCCTCAAGAACTAGTGCCAATCGAAATTGCAGGCTCAATTCGCAACTGATTACTCTTCCATCATAGCTAGGGAAGCTATTGGTAAAAAGATATCTGTCAATATCGAGTGAAGGAAATAAACAAGTATAATTAATAGCATAATAATAAATTGCGTTCTAACATAGGGAGTGAGAGTCGAGTACATAGTACTCGACTAAGTGGGTCTACTGTAAGATTACAATATAACGAAGCGAATAAATCGCAACAGAACCTTTTCCAATAAACGCCCTTTCGAACAATATACCAAATGGCATTTTTCTCTTTTTATATTTCTTCTTATAATCAGTAATAAATATATATCACACTTGTTAATTCTCTTCTCTTCCCTTTGATTCCCTAGATACCTTCCATATAACTACTAGCTTGTTCCGCCTCTGTACAGTAAAAGCACTAGCTCGCTCCTAGCTTAGATAATACAAGCCTTCTACTCTAAATCTCATCTAACAACAATATCTAATCTAGAAACAACCTAAAACAACCCACAAATGTACCAAAATCTCGCTTTATAAATATTCTCCCCTCTCTCTTCTCTTTTGTCAATGTTAGTATTTCCTTCTACAATCTTTATTCTGTACCTTTTCCCACATTCTAACTTCCCTACCTACCCCAATAAAACCGCTGTTATACCTTTCTTCTCTACCTCTCCCCTCCCCTCCCCTCTCGCCTAATCCCATTATTCTACGTTTTTAGAAGCATTAGATACTACCCAGATCCCTGCATCTATCTCATACCATACCACAACCAATAACCAAACCTCAACCCCCAAAAGCGCCATAATAATCTGTGAAAACCCATATTAATACCAACAATCAAACCAGGACAGTATATAAGTCTACAAGTATATATAGTATCCTATGCTATAAAAGATACACCTTACCTGACAAAAGACACATCAAGCAGTAGACAATAAGCCTTAAGCGTTAAATTAAGATTCAACTTCAACTTTAACATTTACCTAAACCGCCCTCGAGTCTCGCTTAACTACAAGTACGCTCATTCATATATATCTTAAACCTCTCATCTTCCCCTGATCTTATAATAGCTCACACGGGAATCTCATTCATACACTTACACACTTGAAACACTACCCAGGAACATTTCCTCTCTCGTGTCTACCCCCTACCCTCTCCACCGATACCCACACCCATATCCTCCGAACCCCATACCAAACCCAACACTGTCTGTACTACTACACCCATCCAAATCACTCGCCAAGTCAACCACTCACTTCCTTACTCAACCAGACCCCCACACACCCAAAATCCCCTTCTTCTCTCAAGATGATCAAGAACTCTGAATCTACACAATTCAGTGAGCCGTAACTCACCTCAACTCAACACAACACAACAGACAAAACAGCACAGCTAAAAATCCCCATTCAATTCACCCATTCCATCTATATACAAACACCCATCCATACCCCCCTCCCACAACAACCTTACCCACACCAACAACAACAACCAACGGTAAAAACTCCAGCCCCAATGCAAACTTATTCTCTATCTAACCTCTACCAAAACCAAAAAAAAACACCCTCTTCTTTCCCTAAATCTCCTTAGTCCTCACAATCACACCTCTCCCCCCTTCCCTCTCTCGTTCCCTCTCCCCACTCCGTCTCCCCAGATCCCCACTACGCCTCCCTACCGCCTCCCGATCAATCTCAATCTCCCTCTCCACCATCTCAATCCCGCTCAGGGATGGAAACCGCTTACTAAAATCCCTCACATAGTCCTCTTTCTCCTGCGGACTCATATCCGGGTGCGCTGTCGTCCTCGCGCCCCTCACATTCGGAAGACTGGTTTGTTTCGGTGGGGATCTCGGTACGGTACCACTCATATGTGGTTGACTGGCAAGATGTTTAGGCGGGGAAGTAGAAAGATCAGAACGAGATCCTGTACGCATACTATTCAAATGAACTGGTTTGGGAGGCGCACTCGGTCTGGAACCCCCGGTTTTGGACGAGGTAGCGGGTGGCATGGTCATGGGCTGTTGGGGGAGTTGTTTATTGTAGTTTGGTGATGGTTGGTGGTCGGTTATTGGTACGGTTTTTACGTGGACAGGTGTTTGTCCACCGACCGGCTTCCTAGAGACAACAGGTCTCCCATACGGATTGCTGGACGAAGGGATGGGAGTAGGGTCGAACTTCTTCGGTGACGTTGGTGCATTATCTGTAAATCTTCCGTAACCCTCGGCGGTCTTTTTGGAAGGTCGAGACCCCTGTTGATTTTCGTCTAATAAGCTCTTGACTTTATTTTGGATGCTCGTTGCACGTGACATGCCGCCAATGCTCTTCGGTGCCGTGGAAGGCCCTCTTTCGTCAAGTTTCCTGCGGTATTCGGCTGCAGCAGCGGCCACTCGTCGTTCTTCCATCGACAGTCTCCTACGCTCAATTTCTCGTCTCTGCTCGGGTGCCATGCCTTCCATGCTGTCATCAATAGCGTATCCATCATCACTTCTTCCATCAGTGGCTTCGGATCCGGCTATGGGTGTGAGGTCCTTTCGCTCTAAATCATGCAAAGGACTCGGAGTCCTTGGTCCTGGAGGTACATTGGTATTACTCTCAAATCGCTTGAAAGCATCTCCGAATTTCCCAGCAAGCAGGTTCTTCGTTCCAGATAAAGATGGTAAACTTGTCCTTTTCGATTTCGAAGTGGCTCCACTGCTTCGCCTCCTGTCTTTCTTTGCTGCTTCATTCTCTTCCATAGTTTTCAAGAAGTCAACATTTGATTCGATATTGGTCTCTTCTTCACTCGAATCAGAAACCGCAATTTCACCTCCTTGTTTAGGATATGATGTGCGCTTTTCCATAGAAGATCGGCCACTTGATTCTTTCTCTCTCAAATAATCCATGTTTGACTCCAGATATGTGCTGGAAGGCCGAGGGCGAGAATTACTCGACTTGGTTCTTGTTATCGGATCAAGTTGATCAGAACTTGGCCTTCCAATCTCCAGTGAAGGCCTAGATGAAGAAGTGTTTCTAGTGTGACCCATCGGTATAGTTGTAGTTTGGAGTTGGGGTTCATCTGCTCGCAAGTATTGCGTCGAAGTGCTTGATGGCATTTGTTGGTTTCTTGGGAGGCTGGTTGATCGGTGATGATCAGCATTTGGTGGAAATCGGTACGCAGGCGAAGGAGCAAGTTTGGAAGGCGGTTGGCTACTAAGTGGAGGAGTTGTCATAGTTCCTTGAGAAACATATGAATTTTGTGGAGGTGGGCGGGTAGGTGTGGGCTGGTAAACCACTTGAGACGTAGGTGTAGGAGCAGCTGCAGCGACATATTGCAACTCTGGATTACCCGAAATGATTTTTTGCGCGCGAGAAACTGAACTGGCGGGTGCTTTTGTAGAGGCGGTAGGCGCAGGTTGCGCATTTGTCGCAAATGCATCATCCGCCAGTTTTTCAGTCACTTTCTGACTAATATTACGAGCGTGAGTGGGTTTAGTGGGTGAGCTTGACTCAAAATCAAACTTTCCTCCATCATGCAGCAAAGAAAATTGATCTAAACTTGGGAATCTGTTTGAAATCTCGTCCTCGTCTGCCAGAGGTATTTTAGAGTCCAAGGCGGCAAAAGGATCGCTTGTTGTACCTCTCATCGGAGATGGACTTGAGACTGGGGTGTGGCTTGATGAATTTCCCGTAGGTCGGCCTCTTCTCATTGGTACGACATCAGGAATTACCTGCTTTTGTGCTGGAGGTGGTGAAAAAACGGCCCCTACAATCGGAGGGGACATTGAATTTGGTTCTGTAGATGGCAGTTGTTGATTCCTCCGCGATTCTGATTGGGTTCTCGTGGAGTAAATCTACTTTCATGAGCTTTGCAGCCTTATTTGCACAGGATTTACATACATCTTGGATTGGTGGCTCGAAACCCTGCATTAAGCAACCTTCACGTAAAGCCTGGTAGATGTTGGGCCGAGATTTTGGATTTTCCTTCAACATGGAAGCTTGGATTGTCAGTACTATATACTTGCCTGAACTAAGGTTTGTGCCTACCTATGAGCTTCTTCAGCTTATCTGAAAATGGAGGATAATGTGGAAACTTGAAGCTTGCATTTAAAATTGCAAGCTGCCCCTGTGCCTCGAATGGTGTTGTGTAATAGCACAGCTTATACAACAGTACGCCCAAAGCCCATATATCGGATTTTTCATCAATAGGGAGTTTTCGATACACATCAATCATTTCCGGACTTCTGTATTGTAGTGTGGTATGTTTTTGTACATCGTCTTCGATCAGTCTGCATTCCGCTGCCGTAGCCGCCGCAGGTCTTGGAGGTGCCGTCGAGCCAAAATCGCAGAGCTTGAATCGTTTCGAGCTTCCGCTGGTACAAATGAGGACATTTTCCACCTTCAGATCTCGATGTAACAGTGGAGGTTTGAGATAGTGCATACATGCTACCCCTTCTGCCACGTCCGTAAAGATCTTGAGAATTTCAGGTTCTGTCAGTCGGTTCTGCAGCCGCGTATTCATAAAATCGATCAGACCCCCGCCGTTGCAAAACTCCATCAGTAAAAACACCTCATATCCCCCGCCCTTTAACTGTGAAGCATGCGAATCGTAGTATGTGACAATCGGTCGGTGGCCCTTTAACTTCTTCATCGTCTCCACCTCCGTTCGCATATTCGCCAGGGTTTCTTTATCAGGCACGGCAACCCGTTTGAGGACGGCGATGTCGGTGCCATTGATCGGTTTGGGCATCTTGACCAGGTAGACATGGGCAAAACCCCCTTCCGAGAAGTATTTCTGAATCACCACCTTATGGTCCCCCACTTGTATCTTTGTTCCTGGCGCAAATGTGCCAGCGGGAGCTGGGGGACCTGACATCGGAACGGGAGCTGCAACGTGGGCTGGACGGTGTGCCGTCGCAGGCATCGAGGGATTGTAGGCCATGATGCCGTGACGACGGCGAGGGGGGGAAGGCTATGGGCTTGGAGGTTTTTGGTCACCGCATTAGGGGGGGAATGGAATGACGAGTCGAGCAGTATGTCCGGAAGCAGAACGGCAGCAGCGGGCGAGGTTGTGGTTGAGCGGTGGAGGGTTCAACGGTTATGTGCTTCTGGTATTCGTGGCTGTGGTTTTGGGGCAATGCGATGTCAAGTCAACAGCGAGGAGCACCAGTGAGGGTCGGGGAAGTGGAGCCGCCTCGCTTTAGTGTTTAGGCCTAGACGACAAGGCGCTGCGCTGCCATACTCCATCCTATTTCGATCGACTGCCCTCTGCGGGAGGATGGGTATCAGATGATAGCTTGGAAGGAGATCTGCTGTAATGATTGAATGCACGCAAAAGGGGAAATGGACAATGAGAGTGATGGAGTTACTGGTCTCGAGTGCGATCTAGACGTGTCCTTTTGCGAGGTGTCATGTCAACTACAGTCCCTTCGCAAATGCGTGCAGCTATGCTACTGTATCTCGCTCGTACTTAATGACGGCGGCCTTGATTCACATGCGGTTAGGTGAAAGTCGAAGTGGACCATCCACTCCAATACGACACCATGACTATCTACGGCACTAGATGCATCAACATCAAGCTTGTCACACGGCTAAGATAGGATTGCAGTCATTAGTGGACTGAAGCGTGGGTTGTTTGGCAGCCTTGCTCCAGGTTCCAGGTTCCGGGTTCCATCTTGGTGTACTCGTACGAAGTACATTGTACCGGTATCGTCAACTCAAGGCAATTGGAACATTTCGCTTGCAGCTGAGGTGACTGACTTTCCGCGGCTCAACCATAACCATTGAAAGGTGTATAAAACGTCTAGGCCACATCGCACTACATCATACACATGCTCATCCGGAACTAGAATCCTAGAGTGCGGAAGATGATAGAGAGATTGTTGACATCTGCCTCTATTCTCGCAAAAACTGTCGCACCAGCCCTTTCCTACCCCCTGCAAGGAGAGGGAGTAGTGGAGGTGGAGGTGGAGGTGGATAGGGGGCCTGATCGTCCTGATGAGATATCTCGGGATCCTAGCGAAACTCATCGACTGCCGTGACACTGCCTCGACTGCTCACAAATTCGTGCTCAATGTGGTAATTCCAGATTCCGACCGATGGCCAGCCTGGTCAAGTAAGCACCGCGGTGCAGAGACTGGGGATGGGACAGAATGAGATTCATTGGATGAAGGATCCTCAATCCCGACCGAATGTACGAATGGGGGGAAGGGAAGGGGGGGTGTGAGTGTTTGCTGCGTTGAAACCAGCGAGCACAACTGGACAGCTGGTAGGGATGCAATCCACGCCGCGCACGATCCTCGAGACGTCGTTTGCGTGATGGATTGTAGGGCGAGTGAATTGTAGCAGAAAGAACAGCTATCTATTTCCGGCAAAACCACCACCATCCGACTGGGGGAGACGGAGTATATCTTCAAGCTGCGCCGGTTGGTGAGTGTGAGTTGGTTGGAGTAATTTTGGCGATGAGATGGATGCGTGAAGGTTGCATGGGAAAGAGCGAAAAACAAAAACCACATCCAGCCCTCGTCGCCTCGTCGTGAGGCAAGACTCAAGAGCGACTAGGACGGGAGCCAGGCCAGGGTAACAGGGTTGCTCGTCGCGCTAGTGATAAGCATCACGTGTCAGCATTGCCCCTTCCCTTTTTTTTTCTATATGAAGAGGTTGCTTTAAGAGGAGCCGTCCCCCCCGAGACTCGCACCTTTACCAACCCTTGCAGCCCCAAACCACCCAACCACCGCACTGCCAGATTGCCGCCCGCGCCCAAAATCACTCCCGACCCGACAAACGAGGCACTATTCAGGCACCCCACATCAACGCCTAAGACTAATACTAACACTAACACTCTGTCACTCACCAAAAGAACATTCTAACAATACGGCTGATATTCGGACGTGCTCATCTCAAGGCTGAGGCAGTTGTGCATTCACACGCACACAGCAAAAGCCAAGTCGGATTTCCAGAGCACAAGGCTTGTTCACTTCCAACGCCAGGTCATAAAAAAGTAACTGCTGCACTTCATGTCGCACCTTCCTTGATGCAACCTTGGTTGGCCCAGCTATACAATTCCACCACTTCTTATGGCGTTGAAGTTGACGTCGTTGCATCACAGCCTTCCTTTCAGATAATGCGGAAGACTCGTAGAGAAGATGGCTTCCAGGTAAGCAAGCATTTCCCCCCAACAGCCAAGCGTATGGACGCGGCATCCTGGAATCTTCGCTAACATCACGCGTTTAGATTAGATCGCCTTGTCACGTGAGTGATATATCTTCAGACTCCCAAGACATAATCCCAACTTATAGATTGACCTTGAAATAGGCTCCTCGAGACAGGTAGTACACCATTAATCAGAAATACCGCTGCCCAGCAACTGGCCGATGTTCAGAAAGCTCGTCCGGAAGAGTTATTCAACCTTCTCACTCGAGTGGTCCCATACCTACGACATAAGACGTGGGAGACGAGAACCGCCGCGGCGAAAGCCTTGGGTGGAATTGTCGACAATGCCGAAAAGTACGACCCAAATACAGGTGACGGCTTCACCAAAAATGAGTCCAAGAAAGAAGAGCCTGAAAATGGGTTCAATGGGTTCATCAAAAAGGAGGAGCCTGTGGAGGAAATCCCCCTTGCAAATGGCCAATTAGATCTCAATACCCTCGACCTCGTGTCTATTCTGAAGTATGGAAAGGAATTATTGCGGGGAGGGGGCAAGGAAATTGATTACACTTTGGCCTCGATGGACCCCGCTCAGCGACTATCCCATCAGAAAAAGACTCTAATGGGGCGACTAGGTCTTTTGGGAGAATACATCGAAGAAGATCCTGATATTGACTACATCAAGCCTGGCCCTCTGCCACAAGTCACTTCAAATGGCCATAGCCCTGAATCAAAGAAGTCAAAGGGTGCAGCAATTCCAGCGGAAGAAGTAGGACTGAGTGCAAGACAGCTCAACCAACTGAAGCGGAAGAGAAAACGTGAAGCACAGAACGCTGGTGCCAAAAATCGTTTAGTGGATCTCTCAATCAATCGACGTTCAAGTACCATTGGATCCAACGACACCGACACAACAATGTCGGAAATCATGGATGGCTCAAACGCGGATGTCAACGACTTTTTTACTTTGGAAAGAACAGAAGACGTAGACGAGGACTCCAAGGTGGTTTCCGAGTTCAAAGGTCCCGTTCTTCCCATCAAATCCGAGTTGGAGACCGAAGAGGAAGCCGAAGGTGTCGAATGGCCCTATGAACGACTGTGCGAATTCTTAATGGTTGATCTATTCGACCCACAGTGGGAAACTCGCCATGGAGCTGCAATGGGTCTACGAGAAATTGTTCGAGCTCATGGTGGTGGTGCTGGCCGATTAAAGGGCAAGTCACGCGCGGAGAACAACGCACTCAATCAGCGATGGCTTGACAATCTAGCCTGTCGGCTATGCTGTGTTTTTATGCTTGATCGATTTGGCGATTATGTTTCTGATACAGTTGTCGCGCCCATTCGAGAAACCGTTGGTCAAACTCTGGGAGCACTTCTCAGTCACCTGCCTCCTGCTAGTGTCTATGCGGTACACCGAGTTCTAAATCGTATGGTCATGCAACAGGATCTTGGAATTGATAGACCTGCCTGGGCTGTTTGCCATGGTGGTATGATTGGACTGCGATATCTGGTTGCGGTGAGAAATGATTTGTTGCTACGTGATAGCGACCTTATTGATGGAGTGATCCGTGCCGTCATGAAAGGCCTTGGAGATTTTGACGACGATGTGCGCTCAGTCAGTGCCGCAACACTCATTCCGATTGCCAAAGAATTCGTCAACTTACGCCCTGAGGCTCTCGACGGCCTTATTAATATCGTTTGGGAATGTCTTTCTAATTTGGGCGATGATCTTAGCGCAAGTACGGGCCAGATCATGGACCTTTTGGCAAAACTTTGCAGCTTCCCCGAGGTACTGGAAGCTATGAAGAAGAATGCGGCAAGAGATCCAGAACAATCATTTGCTCTCTTGGTTCCTCGATTATATCCATTCTTACGCCACACCATCACATCTGTACGATCAGCCGTATTGCGAGCTCTACTCACATTCGTCAATATCGAGGGAGATGGCACACGAGACTGGCTCAATGGCAAAATTCTTCGACTCATATTCCAAAACATTCTTGTAGAAAGAAATCTGGATACCTTGAACCTCTCCTTGCAGGTTTGGCGGTCCCTGGTTATTTATCTTTCCAAGAACCCAGGAGATCTGGCAGAGCAATTTTCGGCGCATGTCGACCCTCTCATGCAACTGACCCTCCACCCTATTGGTGTTTCGCGTCATCCTCTCCCCATGAACGCAACACTCTTCCAAAAACCATCTGGCAGCACATATACCATGCCAAGTGGTGTTGTCCCGGTCGCTGCACGACAACCCTCGCCCTCTAGTCCACAGCCTCCACCGCAGAAGAAACAAAGACGGAAATCCACCAAAATCGTTGAACCTGTTCCCACGTCATCATGTCATGATGTTGATGGTCACATGATGCAGGGAGACGTTGATCTTGTTGGTATGGATATTCTGATCAGATCTCGCATCTCCGCAGCACGAGCGATGGGTCTCATCATGTCTCTCATTCCCTCTCATTTCCTTGAGGCTTATGACGGAAGCATTGTACCTGCTTTGAGCTCTGCTTTTTCATCCACACAACTAGCTGCATGCTTGATTGTGGATGAATATGCAAGGAACTGCACATCCAAGGATCAACCGAAGCGATTCGTGGAACCCCTGGTCCAGATCATCGAGTCAGAACGACCGTTACATTATCGAGATTTGGTGAGCTACACGCAGCTGGTCCGTGCTCAATGCATTCAATTATTCAACACATTCCGAGATATTGGCAAGGTTTCTCAAGGACGATTGCCTACTCTCGCTGTTGTTGTTCAAGGGGAACCAGAAGCTGGCCCCGATGCTTTCTCAATACAAATTGCAGATAAGTGTGTTGGCGACGATTTTGATCGACTAAAGAGAAATCTCGCTGCCGCTCAACGATTAATCGCCACGCAACAATTGAGTGAAGCACGGGAAAGTGTTGTTGCAGTCATTGAAAATGCGAAGTTGATCAAGGAACAACGAGATGTCAGAATCAAGGCGGCGGCGGCTAGCGCATTGGTTGCCATGAAATTCTCGCCAAAGAAACCAACTCATATCATCAAGGGTATGATGGACAGCGCCAAGAAGGAGGACAATATCGAGCTGCAGCAACGATCTGCAGAGTCGATTGCAAGACTTGTAGAATTATTCATCGAAGGCGGTCGTTCTACGCCTGCACAGAAGGTTGTTGGCAATCTGGCAAAGTTCAGTTGTCAAGAGACTTCAGAGACTCCGGAATTCACACCCAATGCCGCCTTTACCAACAACATACAAACACTTAGAAAAGAAGAAGATCGTAGAGATCATCCTGATGCCGCCAAATTTGCCAGAGAGCAAAAGGCAGCTCGTATTGTTCGACGAGGTGCCAAAGAGGCTTTGGAGCAATTATCCGATATCTTTGGTGCTCAGTTATTTACAAAGGTACCATCATTGAGAGCCATCATCGAGGGGCCTCTCCAGTACTCTTTTTTTGGCCCTTTGCCTGCAGATGTCAAGGATCCTAATACGGAGCTTGGTCAATCAGCAATTGACTCAATGTCTGTTCTTCGAGCACTGACGCCGACTTTGCACAAGGACTTACATCCTTTTGTCATTCAACTTCTCCCTCTAGTCATCAAGGCACTCCATGCCGAGCTGTCTGTCTTTAGATACATGGCCGCAAAGTGTCTTGCTACAGTATGCTCGGTGATTACCGTAGAGGGTATGACGATGCTAGTTGAGAAGGTCTTGCCATCCATCAGCAATCCAGTTGATCTCAACTTCAGACACGGTGCCATCGAAGCCGTTTATCATTTGATCAGTGTTATGGGCGACGGTATATTACCATATGTCATTTTCCTCATCGTACCAGTCCTTGGTCGTATGAGTGACTCTGATAATGATGTCAGATTGATTGCCACGACTACGTTTGCAACTCTCGTCAAACTTGTACCCCTCGAGGCAGGTATTCCAGATCCCCCTGGATTGTCGGAAGAGCTTTTGAAAGGTCGTGATCGCGAGCGAACATTTATTGCGCAATTGCTGGACCCTCACAAAGTCGAGCCTTTCACCATTCCTGTCGCAATCAAGGCTGAACTTAGATCATATCAACAGGAAGGTGTCAATTGGCTCAATTTCCTTAACAAATATCATCTACACGGTATTTTGTGCGATGATATGGGTCTCGGAAAAACCTTGCAAACGCTATGCATTGTCGCTAGCGACCACCACAACCGAGCTGAGGAATTCGCTAAAACCGGATCACCTGACGTTCGTCGCATGCCCTCGCTTATCGTCTGTCCTCCAACGTTGTCTGGTCATTGGCAACAAGAGATCAAGACATATTCGCCTTTCCTTTCATGTACAGCATATGTTGGACCCCCAGCAGACCGAGCTCGATTACGAGATCAGCTTCACAAAACCGACATTGTTATTACATCTTATGACATTTGTCGAAATGATTCTGAAGTACTTACTCCTCTCAACTGGAATTACCTAGTACTTGATGAGGGCCATTTGATCAAGAATCCACGAGCAAAGGTTACCATTGCCGTGAAGCAGCTTCTCAGTAACCATCGACTCATTCTTTCTGGAACGCCAATCCAAAACAATGTCTTGGAACTCTGGTCATTATTCGACTTCCTTATGCCAGGTTTCCTCGGTGCAGAAAAGGTCTTCCTTGATAGATTTGCAAAGCCTATCGCAGCAAGCCGATTCAGTAAATCATCTTCCAAAGAACAAGAAGCCGGTGCCCTCGCCATCGAAGCTCTCCATAAACAAGTCCTACCCTTCCTCCTCCGTCGACTCAAGGAAGAAGTCCTGGACGACCTGCCCCCCAAGATTCTCCAAAACTACTACTGCGACCTCAGCGACCTGCAAAAGAAACTCTTCGACGACTTCACCAAGAAAGAAGGCAAGACGCTTGCTGAGAAGGCTTCAACAGGCGATAAAGAAGCTAAACAACATATCTTCCAAGCTCTTCAATATATGCGTAAACTCTGCAACTCCCCGGCACTGGTCATGAAGGAAGGCCATAAGCAGTATGAAGCTACCCAACGACTTCTCGCTAAGCAGGGCACTTCTCTTAACGATCCTGTTCATGCGCCTAAACTGACTGCCCTCCGTGATCTATTGGTCGACTGTGGAATCGGTACCGACCCCTCTGCAGAAGGCGATCTGGAAACATCATACGTCTCACCTCATCGTGCACTAATATTCTGTCAAATGAAGGAGATGCTGGATATGGTACAAAACGACGTCCTGAAGAAGATGTTACCCTCAGTTCAGTATCTCCGTATGGATGGATCAGTCGATGCCTCGAAACGCCAAGACATCGTCAACAAATTCAACTCGGATCCTTCTTATGATTGCCTCCTGCTCACCACTTCGGTTGGAGGCTTGGGACTCAATTTGACGGGTGCCGATACGGTTATCTTCGTGGAACATGATTGGAATCCACAGAAGGATTTGCAGGCTATGGACCGCGCGCATCGTATTGGTCAGAAGAAGGTGGTTAATGTTTATCGGTTGATTACTCGAGGGACGTTGGAGGAGAAGATCATGTCGTATGTTACCCCCCTTGCCCTTCCACCCCCCACCCTCCCATATTTCCCAATATCTCACTAGCACCCCTCAGCCTCCAACGCTTCAAAATCGACGTCGCATCCACCGTCGTCAACCAACAAAACGCCGGCCTAGGCACCATGGAAACCGACCAAATCCTCGACCTCTTCAACCTCGGTGACACAGTCGATATCCCCGGCGGTTCCGGCACCGCAACGGGCGAAGAACGCGAAGAAGATATGGTCGATGCGACTGGTGAGGTCAGAGAGAAAGGTAAAAAGGGCTGGTTGGATGACCTGGGTGAGCTTTGGGATGATAAGCAGTATGAGGAAAGTTTCGATCTTGAGGGCTTTTTGAGGACGATGCAGACTTAGTTTGAGGCTTTCTGGGGAATATCGACGAGGGAGAGGGAAGGGAGGGGAGGAACGTGTACTTTTTAGACTTGGGAGTTGAGGGCTGGAGGGGTGGAATTGGGGGGATTGGTGGGATGGGTGGGATCGGTGCATTGGATGGGTATGGTATGGTAGGGTAGGGTATTTTGAGGAAAGCAAAGAGGTGTATTTTTCTCTTGAAAAGGATTCTTGCTCGTTTTCTTTTTCTTCGGTGGATGGATAAGAGGGTGGGGGAGAGGGAGGCGAAGGAAAGGGAAAGGGGGGAATGGTAGGGGGCTCGTTGTGACTTTGCTGATTTTGTGCGTGCATAGCAATAGGGATGGCAATTGCATAGGATATGATATGTATTTGATGTTTGTAAGTCTTACTACAGGCTGTGCTGTAAAATGGAATTGGTATTGGTATCTGTTGATTGGTGTTTGTGATGTAGTCACGGAAGTGTACTGTATATGAAAGTGTTATTGTTGGTTTGACTTATTCAGTCAAGTTGGTGATACAAAAGACCTTTATTAGTATGGCAATAACTAAGTCTCAGGTTGCATTGCCAAAGCAAGTGTAGCTTAGCTAAGGCTCTGTTTACCCGGAATATTCTGGCTCAATATCGGCCCACTTTTCGATAAAACTGGCCGTATTTGGACAGGTGTTTAACGTATGGACTTCCGTCTACTTTAGAAGCAGTATAGACACCTACGATGTGGCCCTGTAATATCGCTTTGTAGTGTGAGCGATATACTGCTCTTAAGTAATATATCGTCCTGAAAATCGTCCTAAAACGGTATAACACGCGCATACAACGTATATTACAGCGCTACCTAGGCCCTATCGTCTACATATAGGCTGTTCCTATACTAGCCCTTGTCTAATATAGTTAGAATATTTTTGTCTAATTTTTATTTTTAAGTATTAGGGACTAAAGTAACTATTCCCTATCGAATATACTGTCACGAATCACGTGTTCACGTGATGCTTGTCATAATAGAAGGCGCAACCCTCGACGAGCATCCCGGGTTTCTTATAGCAAATAAGGACCGCTTAGGGTAGCTAAGCGATCCAGGGATTTTCATTGGTCATTATCACGTGACAAGGGACGGCTGGCCGACTAGGTCGACCATGGCGACCATGAGGACAAAGGTTCTATATAAGACTGGCACGTCTGCCAGTAGATAGGAGCTTCGTGCTCAACTTAGTTATCAATCTTATCATATTAGTTTGACATCTTTGATACAAGTAACGAGTTCACTTCCAAGTGAACAACCCGATAGTCTTCTTCTTATCATAGCATACCAACCAGCGAACACCCAGCCAAGTTTAGTTAGCCAGTTTGAGTATTCGTTACATGTACTACCTTATATACGCGCGCTAGTAAAATTAAGGGTTCTACCCTATTAAAAGCCCTAAAAGCCCTTAAACCCCTTTTAGGACAAGACAGGGTACTATAGCCTTAGCGTTAGAAGAGCCCTACGGTACACGTATTAGCGCGTCTCTGCTACATCTCTACTAGATATTGAGCCAGAATATTTTAGGTAAACAGAGCCTAAGTGCCTACGTACTTATCCCTTCTAGACGCCAAAGTGCCACATGCAAGGTGCACTCCAAGGTGTCCGTCCGTCCACCTTTTCCACATATTCCCCGCAAAGCAAAGTCCTTTAGCCAATTAATTAGGCAGTCTTTCCAAGCATCTGAGTCTCAACTTGACCCTATTATAGTATCCACTCCACTGTGCACGTTGCATGGGGCACTTTGGCGTCTGGAAGGGATTGGTGCTATAGTACGCTAGAGGAGCACGCTAGTCCTGAAGGAGCAGCTACGCTCGGAGCTAGCTAATAAGCATTTACTACTATAAATTGACAGAAAGTGTTTTAATCTTTTTTGCTTGGTGGGGTGTGTGGGACGTGGAGTGTGGATGATGTGTGGTTAGTTCTATGTTCTTTTTACAGGGGAGCAGGGAGGGGGGAGTGAGGGGGAAGGTGGTATAAATGTTGTATTGGTGTCGTGTTTTGTGGTGTATTGTATGGTAGGTATGGTGATTATTGATAAATTATAATGATGGGTTTCCTGCTTCTTCTCATTCTTGTAATCTCACAAAGGATTAGATTGGAATAGATTAGTAATAAAGTAGCTTTCTTCTCATTACTATAATTGTCTGAGTACTTGTAAGTTTGATGTATATACTTGGGTTTGGGATCACGTTGGGTTGTGGGAGTTTCTGTGTTGGGTGTTTGTTTGTTTATTATCTTTCTCCCCAAGCGCCCCCTTTATCTTAGCATGAGAGTTGGATACTGTTGGTTGGAGGCGAGCCTTTGACGAGGATTGGTGTTAGTGTTAGGAATATAGTTGTATAGTTTTGGAAGTTTTGTGGGCGGTTTTGATATTGTGGAAGTTGGAAGTGGTTATGGTTATGGTTATTGGTAGGTCGATATTTGAAGATTTTATGAGGAGAAGATGAAGATGAAGTTGAAAGTAACTATGTCAACTAGTCTAGGTTTGAAAACTATACTTATATTAGATCTTGACTACGTGACGGGATAAAGGTGATTGTTTGATCACATGTTAAGTCTTTAAGTGTTATGTAGGTAGGAAGGTAGGTAGTAGAATGGGACTCTTATGAATTGAAATTTTGAAGCTGAGAGGTTTGTTATAGCTGGTGTTATGGTGTATCTAGCTTTTTATTTATTAAGGACTACGGTAGTCTCTTTTAGTGTGTTTTAATTTGAGTATGATTAGTCTAGGGTAGTAGGGTAAAACTTGGTACTTTATACTTTATGAAATGTCCTATGAGACTGAGAGAACTACCTAGTTTCAATAGATAGAATTACACTAACTAGTAGTTTTGATTTTACGTCTGAGCTGTACCAATCTTATCGAAAGCTGTACTAATTTAAACCACTAGTTGAACTGCGAGGACTATTGCCCACACCACACTGCTTCTGACCCTGGAGAGCTGTACGAGCGCTATTTTTGTTGTAGTTCATTCGGTAATTGCTATGTTTTCTATAGAGATACTGCATACGCAAAATCGCTCTCTGAAGGATACACCAGGGAGCCAACTGAATAGAGCAAGCAGGTAATGGTGGTGTTTGGGTCATGTCATGAGATGTCACGCAATGCTTGCCTGGAGGATGTTTTGTACTCTGGGCTCTGTATAAGTACTTGGATCTCCGATTTTCATGTCAAGCGAGCCTTCGGATTAGATACCGTCTGAACTGCTAGTGGTATAGAACAAAATATACACACGTATCTAATCCGCTAAACTCATTTTCCCCATCCGAGGATTCTCTCGCTTGTTCTTTCCTGCCTGTATCTACTATCCGCACCAACATATTGTTGTGCTGGGTCTACTTTCTCTTTTGCTCCACTTCCTTATTTGATCCACTTATAGTTCTGCTGCCTAAATGCTTCATGTCTGCCTAAACCTTACACTCCTTATATAAACACCTTAGATAGCTACCTTTTACAATGCAATCAATTCTCCATGACCTTCAGTACCCAATACCCTTTCAACCCAATACATATCTACATTCATTCACCCATCTCTTGTCGAAGTTTTGTTTACTTAACCCCTGGTGTGTCTACCTGGCTCCTCGAGCATGGGTCTGCCAATTCAAGTAAGAATATTCTTGCCGAAGTCTCAGTGAATACACTTAAGCCACCACCACGCAGCGTAGCACCACGAAAACAAACGAGATCCAATTCACCATGGTCTCGAGTGGAAGAGCCTCGAGGCACGTCTTGGCCTGTAATCAAAACCATGATCCCAAGCTCCTTCGAGCCCAAAACCTTACTCATCATCGCACATTCTCGACGCGCATACTCATCGCATGCCCCCATCGAACACTGTACGATAAGATTGTCAGAACATCCTGTACAACACTGTGAGTTATTCCCTGAGTTTATTGAAGTCCTTTCATGAGTTCTCCAGTACTTATTTATTAGTGTAGCTCAACGCGTTCATTTCGATCACGCTCTCTATCGACTTTGCTATCGACTGCCTGATCAACACACCAGTCCCCACGGATCCCCGACGCGTATAACTATCCGCATAGACGATAGACTTCTTGTATGTTGTTCTGTTTCCCATATACCCCTCGAGGAAGGACTGACTTGTGAAGTGCCTTGCACTAGTTGCTTAGGCTTATAACTCAACCCAAGCTATACATAATCTGTATTATACAATATACAGACGAAATGGCACGAACCAAGAGAAATCCAATCGCAGCCAACGAGGACCTACCTCCTCGACCTCGCAAACCGGCTCGAGTTACACCAGTCCAGTCCGAGGCTCAGATCATGAGAGGACTTATGGAAGAGAAGATCCAACCAGCCAAGCCCACCACAATAGATCTGGATGATGAGAAGGACACAAAGTCCTTCCCTCTCTCTGCAATCCACAAAACTCGCTTGTCGAACCAACCAGATGTCAAGGCTGGGAGAAAGCTCTTGGACGGCTATGGCCCAGCATGCTACAAATCTTACGAGGGGAGCATAGCAGGGATCGAAAAAAACACCAAACTTTTCGTCGGGAGTCGGTACCTGCCGGGCCCCCAGATCCCAGAGTCGAACGAGCGAGGCAACGGCCAGTACAACTTCCATTCGTTGCCTAATCAAGAGGCGGTTCTTCAACTGAATGAGCCAGAGAACTTCCATGTTGAGGAGTCGGATCTTCGTGGCGATGGGATGGTGCCCAAATACTCGCCTGGCGACACATTGGCCGCTATCAAAGCTAAAGAGGCGATCGAAATCCAAGCAGAGGAGTCTCTTCAGCAAAAGGAACGTTCAGCCAGAAGATGCTCCTCGGCCAGAGGACTGTGAGGCAGGAGATCACCCTCAGAAAGAAGATCACCCTCAGAAAAAAGACAAGCCGGCAACTGATACAAAGGCAGTTGCTCCGGCTCCGGCACCGATGCCTAAGTCGCAGTTCTACCCAACGAAGTTGGGTAATCTGTTCAAGCTGCCAACGCCCAAAGACAAGGGGGATTCCATCAAGGCCGTAGACGCTAGGTATAGGGAAGGAGGTCCCCACATACCAGATGTCCACTTCAAAAGGTACACAAAACAAGTAGAGAAAGACTTGGACAAAAAATACGAACCCAAGTACGGACAAACTCCATTTGTTATGAATGACCTCACGCCGGGAGAGAAGGGTATCATGATGGTGACCTTCCACATCAAGACAGAGGAGGAATTGGAGAGTATTCTCGCCAAGACAGATCCAGTGGCATTCTTGATATCTCGTCTCAAGGCAGAAGAAAAGAGTGCCATGATGCTCCAGTATGGACTCAAGTCGGACGAGTAATTGAAGGATTTTGTCTTCTGCCACAAGTACGTGAGACCTACGCTCAATATCGCTGATTGGGCCAAGGACTTGATGAAAGATGACAAGCCCACAAGTGAACCTCTAAAAGAGCGTGAGAACCCCACAAGTGAACCTCCAAAGAAGCGCACTGCGCCTACAATACTACGATTGCCATTCCCCTCGGAAGAAAAACAGTGGGAAGGCGACTACCAGGAAATTGCGGACGCCATGGCAGCCAAAAACGACGATGCCAGTATGGCAATTTTGAAAGCTACTCTGGATAAGCCAAAATTCGTTGTGCCTGCAGAATTTCCAGAGGGTCCAAAGCTCCGGAGACGAAGAGTAAAGGCACCGGCCGTTCAAGCTTCTGACCGAAAGACTCGGGGTAATGGGAGAGCTAAGCCACAAACCAGTGCCCAAGGCCAACAAGCCCCCATCTCCTCTGTAGCCGCTCCTCCATCTCAGGCTCCTCTAGTTGCGCCTATTCCTGTTTCTAGCTCAGTACCTGCAGCAATTCCTGGCATCAACTTGCCAGGAAACAACTCCACTGCAGCGCAAGGACAACCGGGTACTTTGACACCTAAGCGAAAGCGACAGACGGTGGAGGTACCAGGTTCCGATGAAGAGTCAGAGGAAAACTTGGAAACAATGGAGCAGCCTCGGAATCGAGAGTTAAGTCCATTGCTCGCGTCTCAAAAAGACAGAAGATCCAGGAAGAAATCCCAACTCCTTCAGATAATGATTCTGAGTCGAGTTCCTCTGAAAAAATGGCATCTGCCGACAACTCGAAGAGAAAGAGAGTTTATCAACCACTCTCTGCTCCAGATGAGGACGAGTCACCAGCAAAGAAGGTCAAAGTGGCCACAGTTGCATCGTCCTCGGCTCCTGCGACATTGCCTCAGGGTGGTAGACCAATCATCACCAAATTATTGACTGGTGGTAGGCATCCAATTTCTCCAAATGCTATGCGTGGACAGATAGCTGCCATGCAAGGAACAAAGAGAAAGGCACCTGAAGATGAGGTGGAGCAATCCATGGGACGCTCCGCGGGATCTAAGCGAGTGAAACTTCGGATTCAGACTGATAGCCAGACGATCCCAAGTGTCAACTCCTCGGCTCCTATGCCACCTCCAAATTACGGTCCGCAGGAGAAAGTTGTTGATGACTCTGAAGGCGAGGAAGCCATTGAGGCAAACGATGAAGTTCAGGCACCGCAAGTAGCAGTGGCCGCCGTACCTGTTGCAAAACCCCCAATACAACCGAAGGGGAGAGACACAGGGCTTAACGGAGGTCACTGGTCCGCTCCTCTTACACAGAAGCGAGAGCGAAAGAAGAAGGTTCTGGAGCCAGAGGATGAAGAAGCTGAGGCACCTAAGTCGAAGCGGACTATGAAGCAGATGAAGCCTGCTATCGCCTCGAAGAAGTCTGCCCCTGCGCCTAAGAAATCCCAGGGAAAGGCTCCCAAGAAGGGACCGAAATCGACGACGGCGGTAATACTACAGCCACAAGTTGATCAAGCACCACAGGTGCAGGGAACTCCACAGCCACAGGGGCAGCAAGTACCGCAGCCTGTGGGCGCCGACGAATCATCTTCGGATCCAGGAGACAATTGGGATTAGAAATAGGCGTGAACCCCGACGAGCCGTTGACACCAAGACGGGAGATTTGTTCATGAGTATTGTCAAAAAGACAACTCAATGTTGGATTCTGACACCATGATTTTCCGAAGACTAGATACTCCTGGAACGGAGTTTATCTTTACTACCATTTTTTGTCACATTTTCTACCATTTCCTTGCCATTTATTGCCATGTGACAGGCAATTTCACATACAAAAGAATACGGCAAAGAAGGAGAAAAGAATGAAAACAAAAGGACCAAAAAAAAAGAAAAAGACGGACATTTATGGGGACCTTGGATTCGACCTCCTGGCAAAGAGGCTCGATCCAAGCTATCCCCGGGGAAAATCATTTCACACGGGATATTTCACATCTCTTGTCTGCGATAGACATCAGATTGTATACAAAAGATTTCGGAATCATATTTGGTATAGGATAGCGCCTTACATTTAATCCGGGCAATGACGGGGTACTTTGTTTCTTAACTTTCTTTACACATATATTATGAGTCAATCCATCTCGGTTTTCGGGTACACGCTACGCTCGAGTTTCCTTTCCGAAGGGCTCTTGTGTGGTATGGGATTTGGATCATGGAGGGGATGGTGGTATGAGAGATGTTGGATCTTTTCTCGGTTCTACGCGTACGCGCTTGAGTTTTCTTTTCGAAGGGCTTTTGTGTGGTATGGTTGTTAAGGGGATCTGACTGGGTGGGGTGTATTAGTAGGATAGGGAGCATTTGAGTGTCATGTGTAGGGAAACATAATTGAGAATTTATAGAGAAGTTTGGTCTATTGTGATGTGATGTGATTATGAAGTATCTGATTTGGTGGCTTCCGTTGCTCGTTCCTTGGAATAGATGTCGTTGCAGGCTTAATTATCTAGCTGATGTGGGTAGTGTAGTTGTTAGTACTGAATTCTGAGTTACAATCATACCTGGGTACGCGATAAATCCCCAAAGAATAGTATGATTTATTCTCCAATGTTCGTAGCATCTGCCGGTCAGCATTTCAAACCTTAATTTCGGGTCCAAATACATCCGACCATATTCAAGAAAATTAGCATACAATCAATCAACATATACTACAGTCCTAAAATGCAAATCTGATAAAAACTCCGTAGCTATTAAAAGATTTAAATGCACCTAAATCGCTAACTCCATACCAAATCAACCCCCTTCTAATATGCTTTCATCGCTTTAATATTTCTCTCAACACTGTCCCCTTATTTGTCAAAGACCAACAAAAGTCATCACTTTTTTCTTGACGTGTCCCTTGTTTATTATGTGTATTTTACCATCAGACAGATCCTTAACAACTAACATACAAAGCGCAAAGGAAACAAGGGCCAAATTTACCGAGGTCACATGACCCAAACATGGACTCCACTGCCCCATGACCAGCCACGTAATCTTCCACTCCAATATTCAACATCCCGTAACCCTGCTTAATTCCCATACCCCTGGTTGAAATCCATTAACAATGTATAATAGAATTGACTTTTGTCACGTGGTATGTCACGTGTTGCGCTCCACTGCCGATGTGGTGGAGTTCGTCCAGGCATTAGCCGAGGGGCATGCGCGCCAGTCTATATAAACCCGTGCTCTCTCCTACTCAATTCTACAAGCTTTTAACTCAATACAACCACTTCTTTTGCAATCTCGTTGCTCCCTGCACTTATAACTCCTTAAACTCGTTACAATTCCTGCTATTATCGGCTAACTGTGAGGCAACTCATAACTTTGTACTTAGATCCAAGATCATTAGAGTAGAACTAACTTTCCCTCTATAATTTCAAAAGATAACAAAGTCTTTAATATCTAAAGACTTTTGAGCTTATATATTTCCATTGATAGCTCTTAAACAAGTCTTTTACCCCCACCTCCCTATACCAAAAAAAAAGCTTTTACATATATATATATACATACAAATATCCAAAACAACCAACTTTTCATACTAAATACGGTCAAGTACTTCGATTCAAATCAGTAGACCTGCTATAGAACATCTCTAAAACTAATCCTCTAATCCTCTAATCCTCCAAAACCCCAAACCCTACAACAAATAACCGGTTCTCTTCCCCTCTACTTTTAATATTCCCCCAGACACATGAGATGAGAAAACCAAGCACCAAACCCTGACCGCTTGATTCCCAACAATAAGCGTAAGCAATTCAAAGTAAATAAGTAAGCCAGAATTCTTTCCACACACGTACTACACACTTACTATTCATATCCCCTCTTCCCTCTCATCTACACAATACACCAAGCTTTTCCTTACCCTTACCCCTCTTACCCTTTTGCCTGTTATACTAGCCCAGTATCTCAGCACCACAAATCCTCGCCTATCCTCCAAAATTGTTAAGTAAAGACCTAAAAAACCACTCACCATCCATCCATCCACTTATTCACTAATTCATACGAAACATACATACACCCACTCATCTCAGTACCTATTCAACAATCCCAACATTTCTTTTATTTCCGGCATCAACATCAACATCAACATTTAACACCAAACCAAGCCAAACAGTTTACAAACCACACAGGACACCACCTTCCTACCTACCTCCCTTCCTCCCTACCTCCCTTCCCGCCCAATCCCAACACAATATCAAACCATCCCTTATCAGTGATCTTGCAGTACTGTTCTTACATCTTCCATCTAGCTAACCAGCTGGTTGACAATAGTCTATCTCCCTCTTTCGTCTTGAGGTGAAGCGGGTGTTAGTAATTTGTATTGTAGGGAGGGTTGGGAAGGAGTTTGTCTCTATTAAATGTTCGAAGGAAGGTGGTATGGGGAAGTGTTCTTGAGAGCTTAGTCAAAGGTCTAGATGTTTAGAAGGAGGAAGGAAGGGGTAAATAGGTTAGAATAAGTATGTACCTAGGTAAGAGTAGTAGTAAGTAGAATATACTCGTCGACCACGAAGCTTACACATAAACTCGAGAAACCTGATTCAATCTATACACCGTTACACCATAATAAGAAGCCTTCACAACAACACAACCGCAATAATAAATCAAGAAATCAAAAACATCTCTATACGCCCCCGATAAACTCTTTCGTAAAACTAACTAGGTAGGGTTTTCTTAGTAAGAATATGTACATTACCTAGATCAATTTATTTCATAAAGATGCTTATTTCCCCTCTGACTTTCCTATATCTCTGATACTATATCAGATAACTTGAAAGGAAGGACTCACCTATAGCGTTCTAAATAAGTAGTGGTAGTGGTGGTAGAGATGGAAATGATAGATTAGCCGAGATTTTGGAACTTGATAAGACTTGAGGTACTATATGGTTGGTATGATTTGGGTACTTTTTTGATTCTTTCTCTGTGAATTGTTTCGTGGCTTGGCGATTTTGCCCATTTGGTACCTGTGATGTGTGATGGTTGATGTATTATTAAGACTCGAGGTTAGCGATGAGGGGAGCAGAGGGGAAAGACCAAGCTAAGGATAGTATCTAATAAGGGACATGAAGTTCTCTCAACTTAACTCCCTTAACCCATCAACCCCCATTTCCTTCTCAACCCTTACACACCTCCACCTCATCACGCATCATCATCCCTCCCCAACAGGCAACTCAACATCCACAACAACCGGTTTATTAAACCTCTTCCCCCCTCCTTTACCATGAGGCCACGAACTCGCCATCACAGCCGCATTCACAATACAAGTTTCCTTCCTCCCCATGCGTCCCGACAACGCCTCCAGATCACACCGTTTTGAAGGCGGGATCCCGCCTTGACCTAGTGTTGCTAAGGGTAATGCTTCAGGAGGGATGGCTAGGAGGTTGGTGGTTACTCGGGAGAGGCCGCGTTCGATAACGCTTGTTTTGCGTTGTGGGGATTTGGAGGATTTCCTGGATTTAGAGGATTTGCGGGATTTGGGAGGAGATGAAGAGGGGGAATGGAGGGGGATGGTTGCGGGATCTCGAGAGATTCGGAGGTCGAGAGTATCGTTCTCTGCGTTGAAATCGCTGACTGAGCCATCATTCTGTAAAGGATTCCCCAATTTAGAAGTTAAGTCGAGGAGTGAGATTTTCTTGTTCCCCAGCCCCGGATCAATCCATCTCTCCACACTCTTCTCTTTAAATTTCACATTCGACATCTCCAAATCCCACAACACCCTCTCCGCCCCCCTCCCCTCATGAACATGTCCACAAACAACCATCCTCGGCCTAACCCTCCAAAGCGTCTCTCTAAGCTTCTCACACCCCACCGCTCGCCTATCACCCCGCTCATCACAGTGATACTTCGGCGGGGTGTGCGTCACCACGATATCCGCATCGAGCGGTATCCTCTCCCAAAGCGGCAGTGCATCATCCGGCTGGTAGCCAAAGGCCCACATCCCTTTCGCGGGGGAGAAAGGGGAGCCGAAGATTTTGAACGTTGTTCGTGGGCCGGTGGGGGAGGTAAGCCTCACGACCGCGGCGGTGTGCTGGAGATAGGTGATGGAGGGGGAGGTGCCGAGGAGGGATTGACAAGTCAGAGGATCTTGGGGGTTGTGGTTGTGGATGTAGGATCCGTATTGGGTGTAGAAGTCTGTGTCGAGGGTGGTGTCGTGGTTTCCTGGTTGTTGATTGTCATCAGACCAGAATCTTGTGATTGTGATGGATGGTGGGCGGGATGTTGAGGTTTATTGTGAGTCTTACCGGCGATTACGATTTTGCACTCGAAATCGGCTTCTTCTATCCATTTTATTGTTTTTTGGAGTTCTGAAAAGGAGCCTTGGTTTGTGAGGTCGCCTGCGTGGATTAATACATCGCCTTTGGGGAGCTTGAAGGGGCCTCCCGGTGCTGCATTGTGGGTGTCTGAGACACAGACGAAGCGTGTTCTTCGTAGGGTGGGTTTAGAGGGAGAGATGGACATTTTGTGGTTTGAAATTATGTTTTATTTTTCATGCAGAGCTGTTGTGGTTAATTCATTTATGTGGATGGCTGAGGCCAAACGGAGGAGGGATGAAGGGAAGTGACGATGCACGTCATTGAAGCTATTGGCTGCCTCAACCTACGTACTTGGTAGATCAGTCATACAGTTCAGACTAGTCATAGAGTACACTCCTTGGCCGAACTTGTCGTCTGAATTTCTCCTTTTTTCCTTTTGAAGCCGTTAAACCCAAGATTCATGCTCATGCTTAAGCTCATGCATGCGATAAAAATATACTTGCCCCTATTGATAACTGATACTGGCACTGGCCCGAGCTACTCGCTATGCCGCTTTTGCCAACGCAAAAAGCCAAAGCTTCCCAGTTCCAGTCCCCTCCCGCTCGCCTCATATGTTGCTGTACTCCGTCAACTCTGCCCCCAAGATTCGATGCGCCTTATATGGCAAAGACCCGAGTGAGACGTAGATTCCGAATGGCATATATTCGGCCATATAATTGGATTGTTGATTTGTATTGTTGACCTGGTGTGTTGTTCCGTCGTCAACCAGGCAAGCGCCGAAGTCAAGCATTCATTGAAATTTCCCAGCCGAGCCAGCCCCTCCCCAAATCCCCTGCCAGAAGGCACCTTCGCACCCCAAACCAGCCAGAGCACCCCGGGCGGACCTTCAGCCTCCAGCCAGTCAGGAGTCGCGGTCCAACGACAACCATTGTGAAGCTTCTCTTCGCAATTCCCCAACATCTTTGACATCGGGAGAAAAGCTGCAGCGGCGACAATTAGGTACCCCCTTCACCGCTAGCCCCCCACTCATTGTACCCATCTCGCAACCCAGCTTCGGTCACTTCTGCTCTTTCGTTTCTCGCGAGTGCTGGCACCGATAACCAAAGCCGCCATTCGCCGCTCCCCTCACTCCCACCAGCTCCCATTTCTATTTTCATTCACTTCTCTTCCTCGTCGTCTACTCAAGTACGACCACTGCTTGTGCAGCGCACCCTCGCACAGGACGAATTGCTTCGACTGGACACAGACGCACAGCACAGCTCACGGCCTCGCATTAGTCCGATCCAGCCCCTCGTATTGTACTGTAGACAAACCTCTTTGCAGATTGCGCCTGGCCCAAGTAAATGCGACCTGCTTGTCAGCTAAACCTACCTACACCTACACCAACACCATCGTTGACAAAGTAGCATTCGGAAATCCACAACAATTCTACGCCCAGAGACAGAATTTCTCTACACCGTCACACATTTCCCGTCCCGAGACACTTTGATACAAACCCATAAACTAGTTTATCGCAATCACCGCCCTCCGTCTGAATCAAACCCCCGACTTAGTGAAGCTTTCTTTAACAAGTTGGATTGGTTCTTGAGCTTCACCAGGACAAGATGGCTGCGGTCTCTGCGCCGCAAGCCCCGAGTTCCTTGACATCACCCACGAGCTCACACGAGGGGACGTCTTCTTGGAATTACTCTGTTCCTTCACAATCCGAGGTAAATAAAAATTGCCATGGTCTCGGCACTGGACCGGAAGTGGAAAGGGAAACGCACATGCTAACCATGAGACTTTCTGATCAGAATCGTCCACCATCGAAAATGAGCGAACGAGCAAACCCTCCGTCATCCCATACGAATGGACATGTGCTGGGCCATAAGAGTTCGAGATCCGACTTATCGCAACGCCGAGGAGACTATGCCAATAACTCCCAGGGGCACCTTATACCATCTCGTGTAAATGAGCTTTCAAGAAAAAACAGCAGTATCAGTGATGGAAGTGCGCCGGATAGTTTACTGGATTTGTATGGCACAAACAAAAACGGAATGGGCAACTCGGATCTGGCCAGTGGGAAATTTGGATCAAAGGAACCTTATGATGAGAGCGATCCAGAACATTCAAGATGGATTCACCGAGATAAACTTGCCAGGATTGAGAGTCAGGAACTGCAGGCAGCTGGTATCATTCTTCCCAGAGCGCGGCGGGGCTCTACCAAGTCGAGGACAAGAGAGCATAGCCGCGACCAAAGTAATGGGCCCCGCCAGAGGAGGCGGATAGAGGAGGAGCCTTTTCCGACCCAGGAACCGGAGGAACCAGAAAGTTGGGATTTGCGGTTACCAGGGGAGGCGGAAGAAGATCCTCGATATATGGATGGTAGCGGGGGTGTAAAGGGTGTCTCTAGAATTCCCGTTCTGAAGGATAGCCCATTACCTATACCGATTGAACATCTTGAGCGGGATACGATATTACCGAGGAGACAGGGTGGCAGTGTAACTCCGGAGGATGACCAAATATCGATTCCCAAATCTCGCGGACGCAGTCAAAGCATCAAGATGCTAGAAGATACATCAGCAACTCCCACGCCCCCGCCTCCTACAAAGCCGAAATCTGGTGGCTCGCCTACCAAAAAGACACCCGCATCGAAGTCGGGCACGAGAGTCGCCTCAGCACCACAAAAGAACAAACCAAAGCCTACACGTACTAGGGATACAAATTCTGGGGGACGACCAACCACGCGATCCGGTGATCTTGGGCAATCGAATAGTCTGACAAAACGTCCAGAAGGGGATCCACCATGGTTAGCTACCATGTATAAGCCAGATCCTCGACTTCCACCAGATCAGCAACTTCTGCCCACAGTCGCAAAACGATTACAACAAGAACAATGGGAGAAGGAAGGGAAGTTTGGCAACGCTTATGATACGCAATTCCGGCCGCTAAACGACAATGAAATAATTATGCCAAATACGCCAATGTCACCTAATATGCCAATCACGCCCGATACAGCAGAGCTGGTTCCCGAACCATCTCATCTCACTGTAGAGAAGCCCGAGGAGAGAGTATCAGCTGAGTGGCCTCTGAAAGCACCCAAGAGCCCCGCCTTGAGCACCGGAAGACCTGGTACAGCAACCAGAGTTGCGAGTTTCTCCACGATGCCGAAGGTCAGCGGAACACCTCAGGGCGTGGGACCACTACCCAGCCCGAACCCACCAATTCGAATGCAGTTGCCTCCTGAGGACTCCAAGAAGAATGGACTCTGTGGGTGTTGTGTAGTGATGTAATTTTACAAATCAAGTCTCTTCTTGAAATTGTGCAATATGGGTTGGGTTCATTGTCATCTTGGGGCATTTTGGAGTTAGGCTTGGCTTTGTTGAAGTTGAGCGGGCGGCTTTTTTTTCTTCCTCTACCATACCATCATACATTTTCTTACCATTGCTTCCAGCGTGGTTTACATACACACACAACACGTACAAATTGCCGGTCCTGGACCTTTGCCCTTCCTTTCTATATGTTATGAATAACGACTTCCGGACTTGACATCCGTACTTTTCTTTCCTTTTGCGACTGCGACTGTGTTTCTCTCCTTTGTTTTGTGTCGTTTACTATTACATTGCTGCTACTACTGATTCCCCGAAAGACGTCCGGTGCGCGCGGATACATCGTTTCCTTTCTTTTTGTTCGTTTTTTTTTATGCTCGTTCTTGTATGCTGAGTGGGAATGGGAGGCTGGTGTGGTATGGTGTTTACAAGCCCGGATGGGACCGAGAGTGGTGTGGGGATGTATGTGCTTGGTTCGTGGGTTCTGAGGGGTTAAGTCAAGAGAGAGAGAGAGAGAGAGATGGGAGGAAGACATGTTTACCTACCAGCCAGCCAGCAAGCGAGGGTAGCGTTGTAGGGAGAGGGGGATTGGATGAGAGGTGTTTTTCTTTCTTTCTCAATGTTTGCTGGATACTACTATAGCGTTGTATGGATATCTGCCCCTTTTTTGAGCGGGTGGGAAGGATGGGGGATGGAGAAGGAGGAGGCATTGTTTTGTTGCTTGCTTGCTTACTTACTTGATTAAGGGATTGATTGATTGTATAATTAGTGAAAACCCCAAGACTGAACTGGGGGAATTTAAGCTTAATTTCGGACTTATTTGGGGACTTGGGTTGTGGAGTTTGTGATTTTGACGTTTTTTTTTGTCTTTCTTTTGGGGGGGTGAGAGGAGAGGGATGGTGTAGGGGAGGAGAGGGTTGGGGTGAGGGGGTGGTGGTGAAAGTGGAGGTGTAAGTGATGATAATGATGGCTAGGTGAGTGAGGTGGTAGATGGAGTAGGGGAGGTGATGAAAGTGAGAGATGAGGATGGGGGGTGAATGAGGTGGGGGATGGAGAGGAGAGGGGTATGCTGATTATATACGCACGTATGCATCCACGTACTGTCCTACTGGGTNGGATGGGGGGTGAATGAGGTGGGGGATGGAGAGGAGAGGGGTATGCTGATTATATACGCACGTATGCATCCACGTACTGTCCTACTGGGTTCAATGGGTTGGGTGCGTGGGTGAGTGAGTAAGTAGGTTCAAGGGGAAATAGGGAACGTTATAGTAGGGTTAGGCATATCGGTACTTGTAGGTTGGTTGGTAGATAGGTATCCTTTTCTTCGTAGTGGTAGTGGTTGTGGTTGTCGTGGTTTGCTTGGTGGTGGTTTGATGGTGGTTTGATAGCGGAAAGATGCGGATGTACAGTAAGCGAGATGAGATGAGATGAGATGGGTATGTTATATAGATGGAGATGGAGATGGAGGTAGAAATAGAGATAGAGATAGAGATGTAGATAGAGATGTAGATATAGATATAAAGATCTTTTTGGGCGGAAAGGGGAGGGGTGGGGGGTAAGTGGTAAGGGGGTTAAGCGAAACGAGGGGAATAGGGCGGGAGAGAGAAAAGAGAGGAAGCTTATACCTAGGTAGGTGGATTTATTAGGATTAGGATTCGATGGAATAGGATGGGATGGATAGTAAGTTCTTTTTTTAGCTAGGGAAGTAAAGAAAGAAAGAAATAATAAATAAATACTTTTATAGATTCTTTAGGGAATTTAAGGGGGACTTACCTTGGGTATTTCTACTTCCAGACTAAGTACAATAGGTCTTTTGTATTAAGGGTTATTAGGAATTTAGGCGATTTAGGTGATTTGGAAAGGAATAGCGAGGGATTTAGAGACTAGGTAGTAGGGTATTAGGAGAGAGAGGAGAGAGGAAGGGGGTAAGTTAAGTATAGTTTCTAGAGGGTGTTTTTTAGGGAAGGAGTTTTTTTTGGTTAGGTAAGTAGGTATAGTTAGTAGAGTGGTAAATTTATATCTTTAGTCCTTTTTAGTATTATTTAATCTAGGGAGGAGGATTAGTTAGAAAACTACGTTATAACTTATAGGTAAGATATAGTAGATACAGTTTATAGCGTATTACTAAAAGTAGGAGGAAAGAAGGGTTATCTAATAATGTATTATACTTGGTAGGGTCATTAGTAAGGTATTTTATGTGTGAATTACTTTTTCGGTTTTTCTATAAGTTCCAGAATCGCGAAACATCTTGCTATCTTTAAGATAGGGCTATATGTATCCTAGCGGGATTAGAGAAGTGTTGGTACGACCTGGTTGTCGTAAAGGGTGATACACAAACATAATCTCTCTTTGTATTCATTCGTGTATGAAGAGTAAAGGTAAAGAGAGGTGGTACTCTACAGACTTATGTGAGTAGCAAGCCACTCACATGACCTAAAGTATATAGGTCTACCAGGCTGTCGTACAAGGTGCGATTCACCAGAATTATATACCGACAAGAAGTTTTATAAGCGGTTTTTAGTAAGCGCATTTGTTTTTATATATACTAAGAAGTAGACGAAATCCGTGCGAATACTACAAAACTAATAAGTACTATTCGAGGAGGCTTAAGGGTTATTAGTACTAATAAAAGTTATCTCGCGTTTTGTTCCCTAGTGTTTAGTTCTAAATCGAGCTTAGTTCGATGAATATAACTCTCGGATTTGTTTTAGTATTCGGTACTAATTCTACCTTAGTTCGTTCTCTACTTTATTTATATAGAGCTTATACTTAATTCGATGCTTAAATACGCTTATAAAACCTATTAAAAAGTTATATAACTTTTTAGTACTGACCGTAAAATTCGATAGTAAAACTTCTCTAATAGCCGTAGAAGTAGTAAGAAATAAGGGTTATCTAAAAGTGTATTATAGGGTAATTAGTAAGGTATTTTATATATAAATTACTTTTTCTATAAGTTCTAGAATCGCGAAACATCCTGCTACTTTTTTGAAAAAAACGGTCTGCATATATCCTAGCGGGGTTACAAAACACCAGACCATTATGCTTCTTCTAGCTGAAAGAGCATCTGTGAGCTGAAGTCATGCATTGCAGAGTTTGAAGTGCATGTATAGTCACTTCGCAAAAGTAGCAAGATGTTTCGCGACCCCAGAACGTATGGAAAAAAAGCAGTTCACATACAAAATACCTTGTAAAATACCCTGCAACACACTAGTAGATGGTCCTTGTTTCTTGCTACATTTGCGAAGGACCAGTGGACTGTACTGTTATCAAGTCAGCTGATTTGGCGTTTTGCATTGACTTCCAGGGACCACCGTTGTTTTCTTTTGTCATCCAGTTCTCCTTCTTTTCGCGTTTGTGACGGACATCCGAGCTCAAATGGTAAACAATTGCTGGAAATAAGCAAATAGTCTTACTCCTAAGCTGTGAGTTAAGAAGTTCCCCAATTTGCCAATTTAGAAAGAGCAAGAGTCGCTCCTTCTTCTCCGGATTTCCTTACATATTTCGCGTGAGCCTTGGTTACCCCACGTTTCTTTTGAACTACCTCCAATAATTATTGATCTCCTCACAGGTTCAACGACCCCAAATCTCGAGTCTGAAATAAATCAACAATGTCTTCACCAGCCTACAAACCACTCAACACAGGCTGCGCTTTCTGCAAAGGTACCCAGAACCTATCCCGCTGCGCCAGCTGCCAAATCTCCACCTACTGCTCCCGCGAGCACCAAGTAACCCACCGAGCCTCCCACAAAAAAACCTGCAACGCCATCAAAAAAAGCCAGAGAAAAGGTCGTCTCCGAAGAGACCGAACTACGCAACGCACCCCCAGACTTCATGATGCCAGCCAACGTCTTCGAAACCTCCATCGGCCACTTCTGGGGCATCATGGGCACGCGGGATTACATGCGCGCGCGCTTCGGGCTGGTAGAAGCTATCATGGAGCTGAAGCATGAAAGGAAGGCGGTGGTGGATGCGCTGGAGCATTTGATGGATTTGTTGAGGTTGTGTCGGAGTGATAATATGGGGGTTAGGGAGATGGTTCCGCATCTGATGTTGAGGCTTGATCGGGATCAGGAGGCGTATGATTTTGTTAAGTGGTATGAGACGGAGGGGCAGAGGGGGGATTATGATTGGGGGGATATGGATCTGCCGTTTTTGGATATGAAGGATGCGGATGTTTGGGACGAGGTGGGGATTTTTTGTGAGGAGTATCGGGGTCTTTCGTTTGTGGTTGCAGTGACTTTTTTGAAGGTTAAGATGTTGATTGATCTTCGTGCGCTTAAGGAGGCGGCTGCTGTGAGTGGGAAGGTTCCTGAGGAGTAAGGACGTTCCTAGAAGCCCAGTGGTCAAGGAGCTTGTAGGGAAGCCAGACGTGGATTTCATGGCCTTGGAAGAGAAGTTGGTTGCTCAGATCAAACAGTTGGTAAATTCGGTTAAGAGCAAGAATAAATGTCTCTGGCCTGCGATACATCACCAGGGGGGAATTTGGAGGCTAGGCCGGGATATATGTCGGCTGGAACTCCGGAAGAGATGCAGGTCGTCTTGAAGTATTGTTATAATTGCTGGGATGCGACGCCGGAAGGAATGCGTTTGGTAGCCAAAATCGAGGGCGGGAAATATGAGTAAAGGGATTGTTTGTGGGTGGAAGTATCATAGAGGGTTTTGGTCTGGACTTTGAGGTTGTATGTTATCACACTTGACTTATCGTACGAAGTGCAGATGGAAACTGACTCTTTAGCTTTGATATTGCCTGCTTTATTACCTAGTCAGTTTGTGCAATTTTTATAGCTTTTTTACATGCCAGGGACCCTTATCCCTCGAGGCTTCATAAAGTAAACTCTAGAAATGTTATAGGAGTTTATAAATGTCTTTCATTATACCCAAGAAAGAAATACTTAAGGAGCTAAAGAAGTAATCGAGCTATTTAATCAAGTCGAATAGAATAGGAGATATATCTACTACTACTATTTTACTCCTAAAATTTCTTACACTACTTATATCCTTCTATTTGTATAACTATAATACGTCTTATATTCTAGTATAGAGGGTTGATTTTTATTAACGCGTGTATTTTTCTTATAGAGACTTCGTAGACGACGAATAGGACAAAATGTGGAATAGGATAAGCATAAGGTTGAAAGCTAGCTAAGGGGGCAGGGATTCTTTATAAGACGACCCTGACCGAGTGGAAGCTGCTAGAATACTAGGCATCCACCTAGGCAACCGAGACAGGGGATCAGGCAGTAGAGACAGGAGGGCAGGAGTCTCGCCTACTATAGGACCATGTCGCAACAGACTTATATCATCCCTTCTAGACTACAGAGTTACAGAATCAAATGTGTACTCAAAGTGGATACCGTGATAAATTTCTCTCTAAGTCATTTAGGTAGAATAATAGTAGATAGGTAAGACAGAAGTTAGTAATATTATTTATTTAGCTACTTAGAGATCGACTTTTTATAAATCCTTATATAAAACAGTTTGCTAAAATCTTCACGTAGGAAAAGAAGGCCTTCGCTGTACACTTCTAGCTACGTAGAGTTTTCGGATAACCCTTAGTACTATTTACTAATGTCCTACTCAAATGCTTCAAAGACGATTTATTGCGGGATAAGTAGATCAAAGGTTGGGTTAAACCAAGGCTCAAATGCTTAGAAACCTATTCTGGTTGGCTAAAAAATAATTTTATGGCCGGTGTTATAAGATTAGGCTCTTTTGCTCCACTTCGCGTACACGTTTTATATTGTCTCTCTGTGGTCTTGAAGGGATAAGATGAACCTTCTCTTATTTCTAAGTCTCTAAGAGGCTGCTCGATGGTATTAAGAGAGAAAGTTATCCGTGGTTGTAGATAATATAGCCAAGAGTAATCCAGCTTTTTACTAAGCACGGATGAGAAGAACTGGTTATTTGCATTCTTCAAGAACATGAAAACAACGAATTCCAAGGGCAATTACGTACATCGAGTCACATTACCAGCGTGAGAATATACTACTCAACAACTTGAGTACTACTCAGAATTACTTAGGGCTAAGTTAAGTTAAGTTAAGTAATTAATTTAACTACTCAAGTACTACTCGGAGTAGTTTACTATAAAGTGTTTCTGAATGAATATAATACATTTTAGTCGCTAATCCTTATCCTTGTCTATAAAAAGGTCTTAGCTTTTTATAATATTGCTCTAAGGTTCTCTTTTAGAGAGTATTCCTATTCCGTAAGACAACATTAGCCCCCTAGCTAAATCACTGCTCGCTAGAACCGCTTGTCGCTAGAGCTTGTAGGGGGCCGACTAAGCCAGAGTCGTCGGATCGCCCCGCCGAGGCTCGGTCCGACGTGCTTCTTACTTACTTGGGTAGTATCTGGAGTTACTCGGGTAGTTGGCGAGTTAAGTTGAGTAGGTACTAGTACTTAGTACTTAGCTTAATTCAACTCATTTTTCACGTTGGATATTACCTACTCTGTACTGTGATTCTTTTTTAGTAGTAAAAGAGTTACACCTATGTAAGACTTGAGATGAGGATGCCACAAAAGTACAATCATTTACAGATCTTGAAAATGAGTTATGCTTGTGCATTTTGAAGAACCCCGTTGTTCCTAAGATGTGTTTCGATATCACGAGGAGACCTAGTGGTTGGCAATCGGGACTTGGAGAGTGGATTGCTGTAAATAACGTCATTTCTTTGAACAACTTATAAAAACTGGGCCCTGCTACGAAATGAGTAACTTGAAGGTGTGAAGGTAATGAGAAACCATGTGTTTGCATAAACCAACTACAACACTGTATTCTGGCTCTTACCCACCCTCCCAAATCTCGCGAGAAGCTCTCGAGCCTTTCATTTCCTAACCTTCTGCTTCCCATGCATCAGAAAAATGCTGGCAATCGCCGATAAGCATATTGGCGTGCACTGGGACTACTGCACTGAGGAACTTTCTTTCCTTCCCATGGCTCAAACCGATATTCTTGCCGATCCGATCGACAAGTACCGACCAAAGAAGTCTAATCAGACTTTGATATTATCTGCAGTACCCAATTCCCAGGGGAAAGTATAAGCTTCTTTGGCCAAAAAGAAGACCAGGATTAAGGATTGTCAATTTCAAGGGCCTGAAAAGTGGTGTTAAAATATGGGATTAACTGAGATTGATCTAGATCATCTGGTTGGCATAACTAGGTTTATCTTGCTTGTTATTGATAAACATAAATATGACCATATATGGAAAGATGTGTGGATATAGTGTTATATTATTATTTCCACCACGCTACCCAATCGAGCCAGTCTCGAAGGGCACACCCAGCTGGGTTACTAGACTACAAAGTACCTTGTAGGTCCAGGTCTGAACCCTCCACTTTTAAGGGTTCCTTCGGGGGTTCATAAGGGTTCATCAAGAGAAATGAGTCCCGATTTTCCTGTAATTTCCTGTATAAGCTCTGCATGTACTTTACATGCCTTAATTACGATTCCGATATCGGTCTGTGGAGACCTTTGATCGAGAGTACTGTAGCTCGAGCAAGTGCTCACCATCAATCGGTATTTGTTGGAGACCATCAGCAATCAACATCAACTGCTGTTCAAACAATCTCAACTGCTGTTCAAACAATCTCAATTGCTCTTCAAGCGATCTATCATCCCATAACCCGGAGACTACGCAAGCCCAAACACCAACAATCTACTTCAAAAATTCGAAGTGACAAGATAAAAATAGGAACAAAATGTTTCTGATACCCCGAAACACCTTATACCAAGCCCCCGAGCCTGTCAGTAAACTCCAAACTTCCCCAAAACTCAGAACCCCCACGTTCATCAACAACAAACGAAAAGGCAAAGACTCCCAAAAGCGTTGCCAAGAGAAACGGCAATCTGAACCCTCGACCCCTCTTTACGGAAGTTATTGGAGAAAGGGAGAGCGAAAATTGGCAGATGTCTAATTCAAGCTGTCCCCAGAAACAATCGATCCTCGAAACAACCCTGAACCCAAACAAGAATCCCCTTTTTAATCAACAAGAACAGACAACACCCAAAAGACTGGACAGCATCACCTTGTACGGAAGCGCCGTTCGGAATGAATATACTTCGATGGACAAAGTGACAGGTAGTACGGGGTAACCACTAGCAGGAAAACCCAGATAGAGAAATCTCTTCATTTCGGTTCGTCTCAAGTTGATGATATGTGACATGTGACTGGGGTTACCCCGCATGGGGAGTTTATTTGAGGCCTAGCCACGGCGAAATTCCACTTCAAACGTGTTTATTGAATTAAAATAGGGTTGTTGGTATTTGCTTTAGGTTTGATTTTCGCATTTGCGGAATTTGGGGAGGTGCGATAAGGTATGATTTAGATGGCGATTGAGTTTTTGAGGTGGATAATTTGTTTGAGTTTTTTTTCTAGAGGGTAAAGCGACTGTTGGAAAAGTTCATCTTAGGAAGAGAATTTTTTTGTATGTACCAGCACGAAATAAGAATAGGCGAACGATAGATCGGGAGAGATACGGCGAAGATAGAGATGATAAGATTGTAGAAGATAATGGTAACTTGTATTGAACATGTATGGGTATTTTGGTAAACAAATCGCTAAGTGATATCGAACCGCGCCATGATTTAAACAAATTCATAATACTCGAGTACATCATAATACATCACAAAACATCCGACTCTTTTTTTCCAAATCCAACTTTTGAATGTTATTTTTGAATCACACATCAAGAACCCACTCGCCATCCATCCAACATTTGGAAGGCAGAGTCAAGAAGTGACCCCACTATGATGTAACTGAAGCAAACCATCAACAATCCCACGAAGGTGTGGTTGCATACTGTCTTCCCAGCGCCATAATCGTACCACCCTGAGTTCTAGACTCAAGACATGGGGTTGGAGGTCTTCCAATTGAATGTCGCGACTGGCGGGTCTGCTGGAGAATGTGGCATTGTGTGATTGGTGGTTGCAAGGGATAAATGCACAAGCGGGTACAAATCCCGCGCCTATCTGTATGCAGTGCATGCACCCCGATTTGGTGGTGACGAAATGCAGAAATCTCGTGAATTCTCATGGCCGAGGTAATTTTATCGATTTGGAGGTTTCGAGGCTTTGCTTTGATAGCAGAAATGAATTGCTGAGGTCGAGATTCAAGCTGGGTGTGATCTGCTGTGCCCGATTCATATCCCAAGGAAGCAATCTGGGGGCTGTTTTTGTCCCAAATGTTGATCGGTTGTCGTTTGGGCATTGTTCCCTAACCGAGTTGTTTATATTGTAGTGTGTTGAAAGTCTGTTTCTTGTACCAGTCCAGTAAAGGTCCTGGTATTCCTTGTATCTTTCACGCGTAACCAACCATCCGAGCACATCTCTCGCAGTAGTAAAGGTTGTGTCCGAATTGTACCATTCCGTTTGCGAGAGCATCCTCCGAGGTCACTGGCGATCGGCTGGAAGATATAACGGTTTCCACACACTTGGCACACCTTGAGCATCGAAGGGTCTCCACGCGGGGAGTGTATGATCGAGAATCCATGGAAGAAAAGGAAGAGGACGAAGACGAGGAGTCGGAGGAAGTTGAAGAGCGTGATGAAAAGTTGGCTGGGACTTGTAGCTGAGGTCGAGGGGACGAAGACATGGCGTAGGAGCATGAGGTGGATGAGTTGTTGTCAATCGTCCGTATGTGGGTGTTGAACATGAGACGTTCTTGGAAGGTGGTGTTTGTTGTAGGAGATGGGTTCGTAAAGGATTAAAAGGTTGGAGTGAGTGGGTAGTTCTTGGAAGGTTATTCGCAATTGTTCTACTTTGGGAAGCAAATTGCAAGTTGAGAAGAAAGTTGCAGGAGGACCAAAATATCACTGATAATGGCGCAGTGCAATCTGAATCAAGGCGGACGTGCAGGGCCAAGCGAGAACCAAGCAATGGAAGTGTCAGGCAGAGTGGGCCAAGGATGGTCCCAGGTTAAAACACCCCTTAGGCAAATATCAAAAGCGGGGCTACTCGGAAAGGTCGATGGCCTTTTTGAAATCCGATCTCGATGTGACCAGGCCAGGGGTGTGTGTAGATCACTTCCACTACGAGTTCAATAGGGGCCTGTATGACGAAGTCAGGCGAGTGCCGAGTTGGCAGGAGGAGTGAAAGGGGTTCAACGATTTAGAGCTGTCGTCTAATGTTGGGCATCGATGGTAGGACCCTATTGAAGTCTTATACACCGTAGAGGAGAAAGGGCTGATCGCAATTGTGGCCGTGAGGAAGCAGATTTCTGATTTCGTGGGTTTCGTGGGTTGTGTGAGCTTGAGCAGAGGTGTGGTAATGACGATAAGTGGAAGAACGACGTTTGCTTGGTGATTTCTTGGTCTTTGCAAGGTCGGATGTGTGAGCCGATACCGATACCGATATATGCGGTGCAACGCTTCAGAGGCAGTGGCAGTAGCAGTTCTTGAGTGAGGCGATGAGATTGATTTGGAGAGGGAAGGAGGTGCAGAGCGAAATACTTATATATCTCAGCGTCTCTTTATTGCGCATTTCCCAGGGCAGGTCTGTGTTATTATACTTATATCCGGAGTACGAGTACTGCCACTTGCTAAACTACTCGTGCGTGGCCTGCTCGGCATTTACAGTACGCCGCCGTTGCCCAACCACGTTCAAACATGGCTTACGAAGTCTAAGAATCTCATAATTATCACTCACAGGCCGCGTATCCCGGCCAAGAAATCTAGGTTCCCCCCCGCTCACGCCTAAGGGTTTTCATATTCTCCATACGGACAAACTTCTGCATACCCTTGTGGCTGGTCCCCTAAGAATGGCCCTTGATATTCAAAATCAACGAAGGATTCAAGAATTGACTATAATACCGTATTGCCTCAAACTTTGCGGTGCCGGGATCCGCTGAAAACTGTTGAGCTGCGCATACATTACTTCGGTATATGCGGAACGCCGTTGTTCGCTTATGTCGCCTTTTCATTCAGCTGTAAGTAATAGAAGTATACCTAAGGTTCTCTCTCCTAGCTGAACTTGGTAGAAGCACTAACACAAAAACCCAGCTATTTAATCTTGGCCCCAGTATTTTAGAATACAGCGCAGTCTTTTGGATGCGTGGAGTACGAGTAGGTAGGTATGCCCAATTGACCCCTCGGGAGCTGGTTCGCTTTTCCACATAGGTAACGCTAGAAACACGTCTTTACAGTACACTACTGTATTACTTCGTCCCAGGCGTATCGACTGCAACTTCCCCAGGGTAGCTTCAGTGGAGAACTTGGTCAAAACCCCCGTAAAAGTTACAATTATTGTGCCTGGGACAAAGTACTTCGTCCCAGGCGAAATAATTGTAGGTTTGCTAGGGTGGCTAAGGTTGCCAATAGGGTAAAAATCCCTGAAAACCCTACATATTTCGCCTGGGACGAAGCACCACATCGTACCCCAACTGCGCGCCCGAGGAGAAATACCTTAAGAAAATAAGTTCTCTTGTTTGAGTTTAGCATCTGTGGTTGCGAGGTTAAAAAGACGCAGTTCGAGCGCGTTGTCCCGGTGAGTCAACCAATGAACCGACCAAACGTCTATGGCACGAGTATTTGCGCGGGGTAAGGCAGCCTCCGAATGTTTTGACCTTTTGAACTCTACCGGTGTCGTACTGCACCTTCGCACCTTTTCTTGTTGATGAGGACACACACAAACAAACGGAGAAAAAAGTAAAATCTGCCATTTTCACTTGGACGGTCTACTGGTTGATTCCGTTGCTGACATATTATTAGGGCTATGCACTAGGCACAGTAAGTAAAGTATCCCTTTGACAAATAGTAAGTACAGTCATACGGGCCAGGCATCTACAAGACGGACGCATACGGCAGCATACGGCAGCATGTGAGAAAAACCGTAATCTACCCTGTACTCGTATATGACAGTATCAGGTTGTTTTTCCATCAGAAATTCTGATAAGGCGAGAAGATCTGAACAAGATTTCTCTCGCGCCTTGGTCGTCAAGCGATCATCGATGATGATTTTCGCTCCTCGGCGGCTTGGTACAGTATTTTCCCCAGATTTTTTGAAAAGTCTATCCAGGATCGATATCTTCAAGTTGCATCATAGCTGGTGAGCTGGCTGCCAGATCCGATCAAGCGGACCTACGGCCGAGCCTCCGAGCTCTTGATACGCCAGCAGTTTGTCAGTTCTGCGAAGTCCAAACCTCCTCGTACTTATACCTCGGTTCCTTCCCATCAGAATCCTGTTGCTAGTTCATGATTTATCTTTGTTTGAAAGATTGGATCGTTTTCTTGGATCAGCGCAGTCGTTCTCATATAACAATCCACGTCCAACCAGTATATGGAACATGAGCATATCAGTGTTGGATCGATCGAGACATCAAAAGAGGATCTGTTTTTGAAGAAGAGCTTTGACTACGAATTCAATAAGAGGGGGCAACAAAGTACAGTACTGCAAGCTTGTTTTTTGGAAAAAGTCTACTTTACAGTTGAAGTAGTAGGGTGCTTTACAGAGGCTCACGGTCCTCTAATACAGATGATCCTCAATCAGAAGGCTGAATTATATGCAGAATTATGCTTTTATATATCGCAGTTGGGGTTTAAAAAACTTGGCAATCTTGCCTTTTTCGGCAGCTTAAAGACACTGTATTGCAGTAAGGTGTGAGCAATTTTACATACGAACCCTACGAAAGGTGTTTCGCAACTTCGGATGGTATCGAGATATCATAAGCAAATCTATCGGAATTCAACATCGGGTGGGGCTATGACTACACGGTTTAAACTTCAAGCTAATAGATGAAACCCTGCGGTGGTTTCCCAGCAACTCTGTCCACCCTAACCGAGAGCCGGTCGTTTCTCTTCGGCGGATAAATTCTGCCCAGAAATTGGATCTCGGTATTCTTTAGGTTGCCGGGGATACCTCCGTATAAGAATGATCTCAGAAATTTACTACCATCGAGTGTAACAGTCTTAGGATTCCGCCGTTTATCTGATCGAAATCGATTAAATGGCTGCTAACTTAGCATAAATAATGCGTGTATAGCCCACGCACGCCAGACAAGACTCTCCACACCCCCTCCACTACTGGATTACTACACCTTGTATCTTTTCAATACGAGGATCAGAAACTAAAAGTGGACGGGTTAAGGTTAGGGTTGGTGGAATATGCTTTTTGGTTGTCTTTTAGTGTGAACATAGCTAGGTGCCTACGTGTTGTGCCGTATGTGGCCCGAGCAAGTTGGATACCATTTGTTTTAACCGATTTCATCTGATGGCCCTTGTACCTTTTGCAGGCTGACGGAAGATCAGTCGTAACGCCTATCTCCACGATTACCTACTCAAGAAAGCACTGGCAAAGATCGCCGTTTGAGACCAGGAGCAATTACTCCGTCGAGTGGTTGATATCAATAACTAGTGCATTCCAAGCCAATTCAAGGACATGCCGTATGCTCATATTTTCAACTAAAGCGAGGGGAAAGGGTTAGGAGAAGCAAACCATTATCTACCCGCAAACTCACGGAGCAGAGTGTCCTTGCCATATCGATTTTCTCCACGGGTCTATCATTTATCACAGGTCAGTACTTCCGTTGGCAACATTATCGATCGAAGATCGTGATATTCTGAAACATATCTAATGCCTCCGTTGATTAAGGACTTTGACTCTAGTTGATGAATCGTCTTTGGGTTTCTTTATGTTTTCTTTGTCTTACGAGTATTCGGACATTACCTTGTCTGGTGGTCAATCGGTCGATGGCGTACAGAATGGCCATTACTCAAGTTTCCTGGTTCTCGGGCGCAGGCTATTATACAGTCCTCCGGGCGTAGTTTCCGGAAAAGTTTTAAATGGACTGATCTTTAGAAACTCCAGCTCGGATATATAAAAGTATAATTCACTTATGATACAATCTTTGGGAAGTTTTCGCTAAATACTGGTTCTAGAGGACCGAGGGTTCTAGTAAAACACTCACGCTCTTCATCTGAAAATACACCTTTTCCGGAAACTCCGCCCGGTGCACTGTACTTCTTTGAGACCCCCATTTCCGGTATTTTAAGCCTCATTCAAGTGGTGCGGCAAAACTCTTTCTTGTACCACGGTCTCCTAGTACTGTAGAGAGGGGTCCAGCCCTGTTTTTAGCGATGGTTTAGTACTTGAGTTCGTACTACTGTACAGCATACAATGTCGGTGCTAAAAGGCTAAAGATAATTAGTAGGGAGAAAAGGGGATTAAGCGTAGTTAGCCTAGGTTGCAAGTGATCCTATATCTTGGTGCTCGATGATCTCGATCAAGTTTAGTTTTTGAAGCTAGTTAGACTTCTCGTTTACGACATATAGCCTCCCGGGCTTAGTTTCCGGAAAAGTTATATCTTTAGATAAAGAGCGGGAGTGTTTTACTAATACCCTCGAACCTCTAAGACCCGCTATTTAGTAACAACTTCCAATTAAAAGACTATATTGTAAGCAAATTAAGCTTTTATATATCTGAGCTAGGTTTCTAAATATTAGTCTATTTAAATATTTTCTAGAAACTAAGCCCGGGGGCTATACTAGAGAACTTAGCTTAGGGATAACTTCGGGGGGGGGTTTTAAGCAATAAGCCATAATCAGGTGAGATAATTTTCCTACGATTCTACAGTAATACAGTAGAAAACTTGCATGTGACGCATAAAATAGCTCTCAAGTTTCAGCTTAATACCTATTTGGGTCCAGCCAATAGTTATGG